GACGGAGGGAAGCGCGTCTTCAAAAAAGGGGATTCGCGGGGGGAAAAATGGGATTCGCAGGGGGAAAAGCCTCTCATCACCCGGAAATATTCAACTTTTTCCGTTTCGGAGGTGGGATGAGGACAAACGGGAGCCAAAGGGCCACCGTCCCCTCCCGCCCGGCGCGGCGGTTCGACGCCTTCCACCGGCACCGGACAGAAATTGTTGTCCCTCACCCCAATTTCTCCCCCCGCCGCCTCCTCTTTCCCAGTCTGGGCTCTGGGAAATCCCAGTGCCCCACTGGGCCGGGAGGAAGGCTGCCGGGAACGCCGGGAATGCCTGAACGCTGGGAAAGTTCAGGGCTGCGGGTAGCGGCCTTTCCCTTTGTGCTCGGGAAGGAAAAAAAGACCTGGAAAAGGCGTAAAACCCCAAAATGGGATTTTTGCCCATTTTCATCAATTCAGGCTTCGGTCCCTGAAATTTTACTTCTTTTCCGCCTGTTTTCAGCAATTTAGGCTTTGGTTCGTGAGAATTTTGTTTCGTTTCGGCCTGGTTTCAGACATTTCGGCTTCGCTACATGAAAATTTTATTTCTTTTTCGCCCGTTTTCAACAATTTAGGCTTCGCTACACGGAAATTTGTTTCCTTTCCACCCGTTCCCAGCAATTTATGCCTCAACTCCGTGAAAATTTGTTTCTTTTCTGCCTATTTTCAGCAATTTATGCCTCAACTCCGTGAAAATTTGTTTCTTTTCTGCCCTTTTTCAGCAATTTATGCCTCAACTCCGTGAAAATTTGTTTCTTTTCTGCCCTTTTTCAGCAATTTATGCCTCAACTCCGTGAAAATTTGTTTCTTTTCTGCCCTTTTTCAGCAATTTATGCCTCAACTCCGTGAAAATTTGTTTCTTTTCTGCCCTTTTTCAGCAATTTAGGCTTCGGGACACAAACATTTTGGGGTTTTTTGGCCCGTTTTCAGCAACTTAAGGTTCGGTACGTGAAAATTTGTCAAGATCCCGCAAAAACAGCGATTCGATGACGGAGGCTTCAACTCTTCCCGCTTGAAGGCGCCGAAATCAAGCGAGGGAGCGACAACCGCCGTGGCAAACGAAC